GACACTGTCTACTGCTAGGGGACTGCGTTGCCGATTGGCCAGAGCTTAGGGCTTGCAATTCAAGTTTCGCTCAGACTACCACTGGAATAGGCCATTTCCGAGCTGCTCTTGCCATTTGGGTCACTTTCATCCATGTTATTTTCATTAAGCATATTTGCTTGCATTCTTTAGACATAAGTGTCTGTCAACTAGCTAGAGCAGCTACGTGCACGTCCACTTTAAACAGAGATTTCTGTTTTTTGTAATTTTTACATTTTTTCAAAGTACAAATTTATTGCTTTCAAAATTTGCTATATTACAGATTTACCTCCCATTTCTGATTATCTGTGAAGATCTCTGTTTTGGCAATGTCGACTCTATTCCATATCAGAGCCAAACTCAGCTGGTCCGCTGCAGATGCATTTTGTGCTGTGAAAAAAGAAAACAACAACAACTAACAATGGCAACATTAATCGGTTCATGTTGTCCTTCAGCAGCACGATTAAAAATAAAATATCGTTCTAGTGACGCTTTATTAACTGCTGTTTAAAAAATAAACTTGACAAACAAACAGCGGTTAATAAGGCCTTAGTAAATGAATATTTTTAATGGCAGCATTGCTCGACTGTCACCGACTTGCATTCCTCTCACACCAAAGCAAATCTTGCACCAAAATCTGGGAAAAGTATATTTAGTCAGTGAATGACATCCTCGGAGTAGAATGTGCTAGAGCCAGCTCGTAATTATCTGTTAAGGTAGTCGATATTACGGATGATACTTTTAAGGATGACGTATTGTTACCTCTGAGGCTAATTTGGCAGCGAAGCGAAGTTGCTATTTTGAATCTATTGCGCAGAACCACTTAAAAGACACCGCAGTTAAGTGCTGATGGTAACAGCTTAGAAAGTACAGGGTTAGGCCCGAGCTATGATCTGGCACTGGCAATTAACAGCAGACCCTAATTAGGCTTGTAAATGGTATGAAGTAGATTAGCAAAGTTTTCTCTGACCTTTCAAAAGAGCTCTCAATATCGCTCTGTCAATGTTGATACCGTCTTCATCCATACGAAATATTGTGATCTAAAGGAGGTATATGTATTTCATAAATATATTTAGTAACTACATTAACGATTGGCAATTCATTGAACGCCTCACTACTGCAGTCGATCAATTTGAGCTTCTGCTACCACTCACCCTTTCTATTAACCAATTTACTTTTTACGTTAGTAGCAGAGAAGTGACAAAAATACCCCCTATTGCGCAAAAGCCTCTACCAAAGTATGCTTTTAATGTACTAAAAAGCAACAACTATGAGGTACGGATAATTGGTAATTATGCAATGCCAAGTTTACGTATTTGACTTATCATGAAGTGATCACGAGGCAGGGTTTTACGTCTCTCAGAACTTAGACACGTGAGGTGTATATCATATTTCTCCGCTTTAAAAGGTGGACATCACTAATGTCATTTCTCCCTTTAACTCCTGCCCTTCGAGTGAAACTTCGGTGACTTTGAGTTGGGCCATCTCCTTTTTCAGGCAAGTATATTTGTAACTTCTTTCCTTCTCCATTTCTATCTTGCCAGCTTGGTTTATTTCAACCAATTCCTCGGCGGCGCCTTATGCCTTTGTAAGCTCGCATCGGCGCGTTCGATAAGAATGATTCATCTTTAACGTCAGGGTTGTTGACCTAATTGTGTGTTTATCAATGTCTTAGAGGAAGTGCCATTTTGTAGGCTTTTTGGTTCTAGCACAATTGGTCCAACCTGTTTTTTTTGGGAGATGGGGTCCTTCTTCACAATAGTAATAAAGAGTTGACGAATATTTTCAGGAGATCGAGAGGGCGGTGTCAAACTCTTTCCCTCTTTGCACATGGGCTCGTAACCCTTCTTAGACAGTCACATTCCCATTTATCGTCCCCCAACGTATATATACCTGCTGGTTTGGTGGTCAGAACTGTTAGTTTGTCAGAACTGTTAGTTTTACTTTTTGACCCTGGTTTTGTATGTATTATTTGACATGCCCTAATGGGCGTTAATCATGGGTTGCCCAGTGGCGCCCGGTTTTTGGTAAGTCCTTAAGTCACTTCAAAGCACGTTTTCATCGATTTATTACCGGGAATTGCCGACTATAATTAAGGTGTAAAAGTGCACTATTTTTGGCGGCTACCTCTAGTAATGAGCTCTTTTCACTCCGACCGTTAAGAGCGACGTAAATGTCGTCTTTTTCGTTCATGACCGCCAACCGTGTCTGTTAATTTTGATGGGACATTATTGCAGCCCGTAAGTCTGGGTTCTTGTCTTTAGCCTAGCATGCCCAAAGATGTTAGAGAAAGATGAGTTTTCTCACCGGAAACCGCAATTTTTTTATCGATTAACCCATGAAATTTGTTATCAGTGAAAATATGACTAGTCAACCAGCAGCTTCCTTTTATACCAAGCACTTATGTCCTGTATTACTGTATTTCCTTTTTCTTTTCCAGGACAAAGCCTTGCCAGCCAAGAAACGCGCCGTCTCACAGCCTGCTCGTGTTTCAACAAGGGCAAAGCGTGCCCGCAACGACAATCCTTCTTCACAGAATTCGACCCCAGCTTTGCCGGTTGCACCGCCGCAATGACCTATTCAAGACGCAGAAGAGGTTCCCCCATTCCCAGCAGTTAGTACAGGACCCGAGAAACGCCCAGCGCAAACAACTGTCACTCAGCCTTCTTTGGATATCGCCCAGCTTAGATCCACCATTACCGCTTCAGTGTTGCAAAACCTACAAGCTGCTGGTGCCATCCCCCAGCCCACCACTCCTAATACAAATGTAGTCACTGTTGAAGCCCCTCAAATCCTTCCCTCTACATGCTTAGTGGTCCAGCAGGAAATCAGCGACATCACAGAAGGTGACCAAACTACCTTGCAAGTTCCGTTACGCAAGCCCTTTCAAATTGTAGCGATTCATTTGGAATCACGCGTGCTTTTGTTAACCAACAATGAAGACCTCAAATACGCGGTCTCTGTGTCTAGGTGAACAAGATCTCGGGCAGGCTAAATTATGTTTAGAGCCTGTTCACAAACCAAAACGAAACGCTACTGTTAACTAGTGGCCAACGATTTTTAACACTTTAACAGTTTATTCCATCAAATACCCGTCGTTGACTCCAGCATTATTAAAATATTGCGAAGTGGTGAGGGACTTAGCTAACCGCTGAGCCAATTATCGTTGGTATGATGGACAGTTCCGTTATCTCCGGCAAACTTAACCGGACTCGTATCCCTGGGAGCAAGTTCAATGGGATCTTTGGTTTCAGTCCCTCCCAATTCAGGACTACTGTCAACAGCAGTCCTTCTCAGGACTACGATCACCCGGACGATCATGCTTCGTCGACTTATGAAATGAATCCTTGGTTCAAACCTTTCACAATGGCTTCATAAATGTTAATCTGTGCCCGTGGCGACGAAAATTCTTCGGAAGAAGAGTTTATATTTCCGGTTTATACTATTATTGTTCTTTGCAGAGTAGGTTTCTAAATCAGCCCGATAAAATTAAACTAGATTATCTTTCGCGATAATAAGAACCCTACTAATAAATCAAATCTTACTTTTAGAACCTACTAACATTTGATCTGCGTCAAGCTGGTTTGTGCTTACTTCAATATATAACTACAGTGAGTTGTGTCTCTCAGTCAACTTACGTATCTCTTATTTCCCACGCATTTGAGCACATCGCGGTAAACAGACAAGCATTTCTGCTCGTTACATTCCGGAAAAGCTTTCTGAATTTTCATTAAGAGCTGCTGATGTTCCACAACGTCCGCCATGTCTTCCATGTCAGTGCTTTGAACAAAGGAAGGTGAAATGAAAAAAAAACCTTATGAACAACAGTTTGGGGTGTACATTTTTTGTGTAACCACTATTTCATGCAAAATTGTAAAGAAGCTGGCGACGACGACGACGACGACGAAGAAGAAGAAGAAGAAGAAGAAGAAGAAGAAGGAGAAAGAGAAGAAAAAAAATATATTTTGCCGGATGAATGACGTCTACTTTTTGAGGAGTATCAGCAAAGGAAAACAAAATCGTCGTAAGCCATGGCCTACAACAGAATTATCGCCTAAATTGGCCTTTCCTGGCATAGAGTGTCAGATAATAATATCAGTAAAAGATTCATATGACATAAGTGGAAGCAAAATTCCATTACATACCTGTCATTCGAGGAGACTAGGTTATGCGCATGCGCCAATATATCTGCAGCTCTACCGCTGCCTTCGGCAATGACGACAGGCACAGCTGGACAGCTCGTTACAGATTCCAACACTGTAAGAATCGTGTTGGGACCTCCCTCAAGAACAAGAAGCACCACAGGAATACCATGCGATTTACCTGAAAAACAAAAGAGCAAGGGTGAGGAGTCCGTTCTAACCCTAATTTGAGCAAAGATTGAACAAGTTGTTATGAGAAATTAAAAACCATTAAACTGCAACTTCCGCGTTTGTCTTGTCTCCCGGTGCCATTAGTTGGTATAGAGTCAGTTGCGCAGAAGCCATCTTACTCTGATCACTAATAGTCCACGAGTCAAGTTTTTGCGAGAAAACAAAGGCTTAAATGTTCCCTTTATTTTTGTCATTGACTTTTTTCTTTTTTTTTTTTTTTCCAATACGCTTTTGTTCGCCTCGTGTTTCACATTCTATCTGGGATGACTTAATACATATTTGTGAGCTGAAAAACCCTAACCCTAACCCCCTCGCTCGGTTCGTGCTGGACTAATTTTTTTTTCAACTTTTACTTTTAGTTCTCTTACAATTAAAGCAACATCTGACTTGTATTTTAAATAAATTAACTCACTCCTGGAGATCTTTTTCGTTGTTATGCAGTTTTGAAGGCTGGCACGAAATGGGATTTCCCCTCCATATTTTCCTTCTCTCCCATCATCAACAAGGATGAAATGTGAATGGTTGTTATCCAGGCATGCGCCCTTGGACAAAAAGCTGGAAGTCATGTGATACGTGACCACACCCTGTGTCAAGAAATAAAAACGACAA